AATGTCCCCAATGTCCCCAATGTCCCCAATGTCCCTGATGTCCCCAGTGTCCCCGATGTCCCCGATGTCCCCAGTGTCCCCGATGTCCCCGATGTCCCCATGTCCCCGATGTCCCCGCGGCCGTACCCAGCACGCCCAGCCGGTAGTTCATGGTGACCACGATGACGTTGCCGTAGGCCGCCAGGACGCTGCCGTCGAACATGTTCCCCGTGCCCTCCATGTAGGAGCCGCCGTGCAGGAACAGCATCACCGGCTTCTTCCCGCTGTCACGGATGTCTGGGGACACGGGGGACACCGTGGGACACCGGGGACAGCGTGGGGACAGCGTGGGGACAGGGCAGGGACAGGGCAGGAGACACCATGGTGGCATCAGGGGACAGGAGGGGACAGGACAGCCCAGGGACATCCTGGGGATGTCCCAGGGACAGGGACAGGGACAGGGACAGGGACAGGGACAGGGACAGGGACAGGGACAGGGACAGGGACAGGGACATCCTGGGGACACCTGGGGACAGGGACAGGGATGGGGACGTCCTGGGGACATCCCAGGGACACCTTTGGGACATCCCTGGGGATGGGGACAGTGCTGGGGACCCCCTTGGAGAGTGCCAGAGGTGGGGACAGCCCTGGGGACACCCTGGGGACACCCCAGAGGTGGGGACAGCCCTGGGGACACCCCCGATGTCACCTTGGGGGGCGCTGGGAGGTGACAGCAGGGTCAGAGGTCACAGGCTGGATTTGGGGGGGTCAGGGGTCACTTTGGGGTCACTTTGGGGTCACTGCGGGGGGTTCCCCCTTTTTTGGGGCCGTTTCCATGGCAACGTCCCCCCCTTGGGGACAATGAGCAAAGGGGGGGGGACATGGGGAGGGGGAGGGGTTTGTCCAAAAAACCAGGGGGGGGGAAAAAAGAAAAACCCAAAAACCACCAAAACACCAAAAAAAACCGAAAAAAACCCAAAAAAACCAAAAATCTCCCCCAAACCCCCCGCGAAGAAGCCAAAAAAACACCAAAAAAAAAAAAAAAAAAAAAGAAAAAAAAGAAAAACACCAACAAAACCAAAAAGAACCAAAAACCCCCCCGAAAAAAGCCAGGAAGAACCAAAAGAGGCACCAAAAAATCCCCCCCTGGGGAGGCCGGAATTTTGGGGTGGGGGGAGGGGAAAGGGGGTGGGGGGGGGGG